CCTGGGAGGAGACTGACCTCATCGCCCCAATCTGCGCAATCTGTCTCAAAACCTGCAAGAGCGGTCCTGGCTGCAGGGCAGCGCAGAGTGCCAGCAGGGAGGAAATGTCAGAGGACCACAGCGGCTGCAGGCAGGATCGGCAGGAATTCCCGGTGGGAGCTGCCCGCAGCAGAACCGCAGGGTTAAAGATGGCTTTCCGGAGGTGAAGGACAGATTTTGGAGAAGTCCTGCTTCATCCTGCTTCCTAGCACAGCAAGAGCAGCCTCGACCTAAACTCAACTTCTTTCCAAAGGGAAAACTGAACGGGTTGGGGAATTCCCCTGTTTGGGGAATGCTGCTTTCCCCTCTTTGTTTCTCAGGCGTTGGCCATCCCCACAGCACACGCTGTGCTTTCACGAGATTGTTTCCTGAAGCCTTTCCACAGCTGACAACTTGCTCTCCACAGGTCAAATCACAGCACATTCATTTTTGCATTTAACCTCAGGGGCATTCAAAGTCCTTATTTAAATATGACCTCCAAAATTTAAAAAAAAAAGAAAAAAAAGAAAAAACATGCATTTATTCCATTTTTTTTTTTTAATTATAATTGGTAAATGGTTTAACGTCCAATGTCCCTTCTTTTCCCTTTCAGAACAAAACAGACTAGAAATTCAGGTTTGTTTTTTTTTTTCTCTGCTTCCTCTCCCCCCCCAAAAAATCTATTGTCAAGTGGAAGACTGGCAGAATAATAGTTTAAAATACACTGTGTGGATGAAAGGTAATTGAGAAGTAATTTCTTTCCAGATCATTTTAAAGAACCCTTTGTTTCTTTCTTTATTTTTACTTGGATGTATTTAATTCCAGTACTGAAGAATAAACTCTAAGAAGTAAATAGCTCTTCTCCTCCTTACAAACACCTCTGCAAGAAGGTCAGCATGAAGAAAGAGTGGAATTGGCATTCCAGAGATCCCGGAGAGACAACAGACCAAATAAATAGAAAAAAGCTCCCAAACGTCCATGCCTTTTCAGACACGCACAGTGAATTAAGGAATACACCCTTTCCCTCTCACCCCTGTTTTGCATATAACTTTCACCTCTAATGACGTTGAGCAGAGTACTAAGGAAAAACTGAAGCAGGACCTTCGGATTTGGGGCTCAGAAACACGTTCCCCTAGAATAAAATCAGACAAAGGTGTAGCAGAGGGGGACGGGCAGAACCTTCTCACCCCCAGCTTGATGTGAAAGGCTTCCTCTGTCACGTGGTGAAGGGAGAAAGCTTCTGCTACACAGACATCCCATTCATGATCACAGCTACATCCTCTTCTCATTAAAACAATCCGCAATCACCAATTTGCAAAGATAAATTTCTCCCATACACGTTCCAGAGACAAGGGGGTAACCGGGTTACTCTCTTCCACACAAAGAGATTAAGGGAACTGATCGAAGCAAATCTAGCTTCTCTTTTGAGGAGACAGACTATTTGCTCCTATTTAACTCTTCCCATTCTGCCATGGGTTTCACAACAAAGCGATTCCTTCCAGCGCCCTCGGCCTGTGCTTACGCTCTAAGGGAAACTCCATTTAAATCAGCGCCATACAGTCAGGAGCATGGGAACACGCAGCTTCTTCTCCAGGGCATTCAGCAGCAGCCAAGTAGTTAAGTAGGCATAATTTGTCTCTTTTCCAGTATTAACAGGCATGTCCCCATCCTACATTTGGCTGCCTTTCTCCACAGTTGCTCCCCTTGCATCTGATTACAGCAACCCAACCAGTTGGACCGGATTCCCCTTTTCAAGGTGCTGCACCTTCTCTAGCCGCAGCTAGGAACATTTTTTTTTTCCTTTTCTGTGCCTTTCCTGGAGCCCTGGTGAACAATGTCTCCCTGGGGACTGTATGACATAAGGCTATGCTGGCAACGCAGAGTGCTCAGTCCCTGCTTCTGCGATCAGTTTACAATTAATCCGTGAGTGCACACACACAAATAACACAGCCTGACACCAAGGGGAGAGCCCAGGACCTCAGTGCCAAAGTACAGAGGCTCTGCCGCTTAACCTAAAGAGGCCCCTCTCTGTTGTAGGAGACAGGTTGTTTTACTGACTTTAGCTACCCACTGAAATGGGACGTGATCCTCATCTCCAAACCAGCACATCGACACGAGTTCACCGGGTTACAATCACACGCAGGCATCCCTGCGCTCTGCAAATGTAAGACCGAATTCTCCGGTCAATGAGGCTGTTTTGCAGAATGGCTTGTGAGCAGATGGAGATGATTCACCTAGGGAGAAGCGATTTTCCCCTCCCTCCCCAGCCATCTTCTCACAGTCCTGATAAAGGGATTTGTTGGAGACATGGGACCTGGGTGAGAAGAGAAGGGATGAAGCAGACAGGCACCTGGTATCCCTAAGATATACTAGTCCACGCCACAAAATCCTAAACACCTCTGCTGCCAAGCTGCTCCTTGTCAGCAATTAGCAACTAGCCCCCAGGACCTGTTCCGTTTTGTGTTCGCCACTGTACTTAAACAACTAAACCTGAAATTTTGCAAGAGGAACTCCCGGGAAAACTGCTAAGGCAGGCAAGCCGGCAGCCTGGTGACATGAAGCAGCCCGAGGCAGGAGCCATTGCTCCTCAACCTTGGCACCTACCATGGGGTCAGCTCCTGGCTGAAGAGGTGTCTATAGGTGGGGGTCTGCAGAGACTAGGGATGGGGTTCAGCTGTCCGAACATCGGTGCCCTGTGTTGTGGGCTATCCTGCAAAAAAACTAGAGTTGCCACTCCAGGAGCGACAGTTGCCTGCAAGTCCCGCATCATACTGCCGTGATACGAGACCAAGAGGCAGATAACGAGACCGAGAGGTAGATAATGCATATGTCCACACTATCATACTCTCACCCTTCCAAACAAGGTGGTTGGATCCAAGCTGTGTATTTGGCATGGTTTCTGGCCCAGGCTAATGTCCAAATTGTGTCTGAACAACGTCTGGAAGAGTGCTACCGGCCCAGGCCAAAATCTTGCCAGGGAACGTGCTAACAATTTCATAGTGTGGATGAGCAAGTTCCAGTACCTGGGAACACTCAGATGTGCTGTATAAATTACCAGCAGAAGATGTAGCCCACAGGGTGAGCTGAATCACTGTCTGGGCTCCCCTGTCTACATCTCATTTGGCTATAACGGAACCTGAGACGCTCAGATCACCTGGAGACACTGAAGCTTAGGTGTCTTAACCTACAAGTTCAACCCCAGCTTCATTGTCAACTTATTACCCTGGGTGTCAGCATGATAGCAATGAGCATTAAGGCAGAACAAAATGCTTTTATGTTTTTTAAATTAATGGGAGGAATTTTTGGCTTGCAGAACACAGCGGAAAGGGAGGCTGAGAGGCCGCATGTCAAGGCATCTGCCCGGCGTGCAATACAGAATAAAAGCAAGTAGAATAAAGCAGAAAAATTAACAGAGGGATGTTAACCCTTTCACAGTTTAACCATCCAAAGGGTTTCAACTGAAAGACAGCAGCACAATTTCTCTTTTATATATATCTGGATAATATTAGGGTAAAGGAGTTGCTGTGAAGGAGATTCATCGCAAATGCCTCCAGGAGGATCAAAGCCTGCAAACACTCATGCATGGGAACAGCCACGTTAGAGAGGCAGTCTGCTGGCGCTACACACCACCACTGCTTCCACTCTGTGCAGCAATAATACTTTGCGGAGCTGAGCACAATCTGAGACAGCCAAAAAATTGCAGAGGGTCCCACTGCGCGTCTCGGATACTGCAGGTGACAGCACAGCCAGACCCGAGCCCTTTGGGGCTGCCCGGGAGCGCAGAAACAGAGAAATGAAATCCCTTCAGGTCAGCTAGTTCATTGTTTCTCAACCTGTGCTTCATGGACCACAACAGCCTGGAAGACATCAAAGATGTTCTGTGACACAACTGCAAAAAATTAACTAAATGAAAACGCACAGACATAGTCCCTGAATGCATGCAAATAAAATCAGGAAGAATAAAATAAACAATGAGCATCCGAAGTTTAAGCTAATCCTTATTTGGCTGTAAAGGAAAACCACGGTGGCAATGCCACACGAGGCAACCTGTTCTGCTTTCCCAGAAGGTCAGATGGTCCTTCAGCGTTAAAAGGTTGAGAAACACTGAGCGAGTTCAGCTCCTGCCCCAAGGCGGGATCCACTCTACCTAAACCATTCCTGACACGTGTTTGCCTAACCTGTTCTCAACAGAGTCCAGCAGTGGACATTCCACCCCTAGCTCCTAGGCAAGCTATTCCAGCAGTGAATTATCCGTAGCACTGGATTTTGCTGGTGTCTGAATTGTGTCTCCATCACTGCAATTCAAGCCCATGTTTTCTTGGCCTATACAATGTGAACAGAGAGATCAGATCATTCCCTTCCTCTTTTTGGACATTTTTGTGTGTCATTGGAAAGATGTTGTTATGTCTTTTTTCCATCTCCCCTTCAGCAAAGGGATCGTTTTCATATTTTCTGGGTCTGAGACTGTTCTCACATATGACTTGTTCTCAGAAGTATCTCCCGTTGGTCCTCAGCTTTCTCAAAATGCAGGGACCAGAACTGGGGATGGCTCTGCCTTTGAGACAGCTCTTTGGGATATTTCCCTTTATTACGATTATAAGACTCTGTCAGCTTATATTCAGTTTGTGATCTGCCATAATTCCCAGCAATTTTTTTTTTTGCAGAGCTGCCACTGGGTTTTCTCAGATCTGCAGTTTTTGTAAATGTCATTCTCACATGCAGCACTTTTTACTTGTCCTTATCAAACTGCAGGTCATTTCAATCTGATTTCTAATCTCCAAAGTTCCTGAAATCCCTCCAAGCCTGCTATCATCTGCAGATGAGTATGTACTTTCCATTCCATCATCCAGATATTACTGAAAACATTTAACAGTTCTGAACTTAGGACAGACTTCAGCCTTCCAGTTTCATAATAAATCATTTACAATTACACTGAATATGGGTTCCCAGCCATACAAACCCACCCTTCAGCAGCTTCACCTAGTCCAGACTTCCTGAGAGCACTATGAGAGGGTCACGTGAATCGATGTGAAAAGTCCTGCCCAGAGCACTGTGATTTCTTGACACGGTGTCTCCCAAACTCAGAGTGCTCCAGGCTTTGCATACCACATATTATAATGTCACAGGCTTTGAAGGGAGTTAAGAGCAGCTTTTGTGCTTTCTGCACCCTTTTCATTCGTATGATGGATGACAGAGGCACAAGGAGAATTAGCTCTGAAGAAGCGTGATGAGAGCTACTGATCTAGTGTCATATGAAAGGTCAGAAATTTAACCTTTCAGAAGATGATTCAGCACTCTTACGTGTGTTTGCAGGAAGGTTGTTTCCAGATTTTGGCTCTTTCAGTGGGGGTTCCAATGAAAACAGTTTTGCCCTTTTGCCATGGTATATCCCATGGGCATTTTACAACATCCAACAATTTTCAAGAGAGAGGTTTTAGGTCTGCCAGTTACTATCATGCTAAAAGATGTTTTTTGAAGAATAATCATTCAATTCTTTTGTTTTCTTGCTATCCATGAAATTCCTTATTATCAAAATGCATGCATACACATCAACAAGTTATGGAAAGGATATTTCCTATAAAGATGAATAATCCTTCTGAGCTTAAAATCAAAATACTTTCTGTAAAGGCCAGTTCATATGCAAAAAAATTTCCATGAGTGACCTATTAGGCATAAAGAATAAGCATCATAGTTCAAATAAAATTACCGTGCAAATGCTCTTTATCAAAGAGTGCTGATAAGGAGCATCATTTCTGTATTTCTGTTTAGCTTGTGTATCACATGTGACCACGTAACTGGTTCTTTGGTTCCATTTATAAAGACGTGCACAGAGCTCAACCATACAGTTACTACCAAGCCACATCATTAATACTGAATTCACTCATTTATTGCAATAAAGTCCCTGTGCCCGTATTCCTGTTTACATAGGAGGCCGAGCAGATTAAGCTGCTTGCCCACAATGGCCTGTAAATGGATTTTGCCTTATAAAAGAGAAAGCACGAAGCAATATTTAAGGGGTGAGCTTAGGGCTTGGGGCAAATCTTGTGCCATTGCATGCTCTGCCACCAGTTTCCTGGGTAGGTCAATTAGAGTTTTCATTTCAAGCAGGCAGCTATGATTCCCTTCAGAGGCTATGGAAAGAAACAGGCATCTCTAGAGGACTGTTCTTTTATCCTACAGTAAGTGAGATTAATAACCCTCTGGAAGTACCACTTTCGCTCTGTTGACTGTAGAAGGAGCCTGTGATGACCAAACCAGCCAGGCTTAAATGCGATGTTTCAGACATACACACCTCGCCAGAGAAACCCCATCCCAAATGGCTAACTTGCAATCATTTGTGGTTGGGGCAGACAAATCCTATCTCATGTCTTCCTGTGCCTCATTTTTTCATCTGCAAAACAAGGTAACAGCACTTTTCTGGCTTGTGCAGGAGCTGTGAGGATAACGACAGTAAGAGATTGCGAGGTGCTCAATGATTACAGTATTAGGAGCCATACGTGTGCACTTGGCAGATAACACGCTATTTATTATTAATTTCAAAGACCTGCTAGCAGGCAATGGCAACACCTAAACAGCCAGGATCTTCTCTGAAGACTTCACAGACTTTTCCCAGGGCTTCTTATCCCATTTCAGATCATTCTGATGATGGAATGTGATTTCCCAAGTTCAGAACTTACAGAATGCGGACACTGAGGGAATTTACACATTTACATTCCTCAAAAGTAAAGCGGTTACAGCTCGCTCACTTTCACATCTACATCAGGAAAATGAACCCCTTTTCCAAAATAGGAGATGCTTTACATTCCCATTACAGTAATCTCCTGAACGGTTCAGAAATCTAGCTGTATTTAAATGTATATTTAAAGGGAAAAGTTTACCCATTTTCCAAGCAGGGCTCTTCTTTCTTCAAATACCTATAAAACATACACATACAAATAAAATTGAATACTTAAAGGGGATTCAGTATATCCTGAGAAAAATACAGTTTGAAAAACAATATATGTAACCTACAAAATATAAACAAAATCACTGAATGGAAGAGTTTGGAAAGGAACCTGTGGAGATCTTTCAGTCCGTAAACAAAATCACTGAATGGAAGAGTTTGGAACCTGTGGAGATCTTTCAGTCCAAACTCCCTGCTAGTGTCAGCTAAAGCAGATTGCTCAGGGCCACATCCAAACGCGTTTTGCGTGTTTTCTTGGATGGACACTCTACAACCTCTGTGACAACTTGTTACAGTGTGGACCACCTTCACAGTAAGAATGGGTTTTTTATGTTGAAATGGAATTTCCTGTAATTCAGTTTGTGGCTATTGCCTCTTGTCTTTTCACTGGATGCCACCAAGAAGAGTCTGGCCCTGTCTTCTTTACCCCTTCCCAACAGATATCTGTATACATTGCTAAGGTCCTCCATGAGCTTCTCTTGTCTAGGCTGAACAACCCCAGGTCTCTCAACTCTTCCCTATACATCAAATTATCCGATTCCTTAGTCATTTTTGTGGCCCTACACTGGCTTTGCTCCAGTCCATGTCTGTCTTGTACTGAGGAGCCCAGAAACGGAAACAGCATTCCAGATCTGTCCTCACCAGTGCTGAGTAGAGGAGAAGGATCACCTCCCTTGACCTGCCACCTGTACTCTTCCTAATGTAGCCCAGGATGATGATGGCCACCTTTGTTGGCTCGTGGTCAACCTGGTGTTCACCAGGACTCCCCAGGTCATTCTTTGCCAAGCTGCTTTCCTGTCAGACCATTTCTCCAGCCAGTCAAAGTCCCCGTTAATCACTACAACCTCCTCAGGGAGGTGGTAGAGACCCCACCACTGGAGGTTTTCAAGATACGATTGGTCGGAGTGCTAGATAATCTCATCTAGACTCCATTTCCCATGAAATGTTGGACCAGACAATCTTTTCAGGTGCCTTCCAACCTGGGCTGTGCTATGATTAATGACAGCACAAACATCTGGTCTATCAACTACTCCTCCCAATTCTGTATTGTCTGCAAACTTGCTGAGGGTGCACTCTGCCCCATCGTTCAAGTTGTTAATGAAGATTTTAAATGATCCTGGCCCCAGTGTCAACCTCTGGCGTATTCCACTAGTGACTGGCCTCTAAGTGGACTTTGTGCTGCTGATCACAATCCTTTGAGGCCAGTAAGTCAGTCTGTTTTCAGTCCTCCTCACTCTCCATCCATACTTCATCAGCTTGTCTATGAGGATGTTATGGTAGAGAGTATTGAAAGCCTTACTCAAGTCTGAAAATCAGTTTTCCTGGACCTCTATTCTCTCCAGGACCATATCCCATGTGATTCTTCCACATAGATCCCTGAAGAGGTCAAAGTCTGCTCTCCTAAGTCCAGGGTTGTGATCCTGCTATTTGTCTTGCTCTTTCCTCTTGGTATCCTGAACTCCATCATCTCCTGGTCAGTGCAGCCTCCGTTGCCCCTGACCTTCACATCCCCAACCAGTCCTTCCTTCTTTGTAAGTATGAGGTCCAGCAGAGCATCTTCCCTTGCTGGTTTCTCGGTAGCCTGCGTCAGGAAGTTATTATCAATGTACTCCTGAAACCTCCTGGATTGCATGTGGCCTACTGTGTTGCCCTTCCAGCAGATACCAGGGTGGTTAAAGTTCCCCATGAAGATCAAGGCCTGTGAACATGAAGCTTCTTCCAGTTGTCTGAGGAAAGCCTCGTCTACTTCTTCCTGATCTTCTTCAACTCTACAGGTTGGTTCTTGTGGAAGGTTCCTTTCCCTGAAGAAGACTTCTAAAGTTCAAGGGCTATGTGTGCATGACTGTGAAGGACAGCTCTGCAGACTGGCTGCAATGTGCTGCCTCTCATGTCCACTTCCCTTCTTTGCAGCTACTGCACACATGATGTGCCAACGTAGTGCACTATTTTCTTGGGTATATAGTGATGTGTGGTGTCTCACATGGTTAGGTAAAAGCAGAAACTGGGCTTCTCATCTCTTTATTTTAGAACTTTCAGTTTTCCTGAGTTGGAGATGTTGGGTGCCTGAAAGCTCCTACAATGGATACAACGTGGGTAGCTATCATACAGCCCTGGCAATGGCTTCAAACTCAACGCAGCAAGACCGTTAGGAGTAAGATAGTAAGACCTGTCTTTGTTCCCTGGCCACTTTACAGTGACAACTAACAAGAAGGATGATCAGTATGAAAACACAGCAAAGGATTTATGATGTTGACCTTTATCCATAGGGAGCCGGACCTGAAAGCACTAGCACGTGGCTTCCCACTACCACAAAACTGCCTTCTATACTCAGGATTGTGACCTGGGAAGTGAGGAAATCCTGTAGATGATTTTTCCAGAAGACAGATCAAAGAAGAAAAAGCCCAGCTTATAACTGCACATAAAACCAGCTATTAACCACAACTAGGAAAACGTACTTGATCATTATAAACTCCAAACATGTTATTGCTATGACAGCCTGCAAAGAAGGTTCCTGCAGAGAAAGACATTATCAGTGCTGATATCTGGTACAGCAGTTGACAGTGTTAGCTCTGTCTCTCTCAGTAGGAGTGTCTCTTGCAAGGGGTGGAAAATGACATTTCTTTTATTTGTATGTTGACAGTTATTATTTGCTTTATTTGCATGCGGGACACTTGCAAAGTAAAAAAAAAAAACCACAGTCCTAACAAGCTGAACTTGGAAAAGGATTTGCTACAAGTGAGTGATGAATAGTCAAAGATCTAAGTTTTGGGTTGGATAATTCAAGTGAAGCAGGGAGCTATTTATATAACTGAAAGCAATGTTAATGGTCTTTGATCAAAGACAGACACATATTTGCTCTCAGCATTCTTGGAGATACATCTGAGCCTACTCTGTTAGAAAGTTCTGCCTACTCCAAGAACTTGGAAGTATTAATTAACAACAGAATGGCCCAAAATTGGTATAATCATGCACTGCCTTAATCAAGCCCATGTTTACTGTCCTCTCCTCCAAGGCCTTGGAGTTATACCTATAGCATACCTAAGCTTGCTGGCTTTGGACGCAGACTGAGGCCTAGGTTGCTCCTAAGACCTGCCTTCTCACATCCATGTCTTTGGGTGATTTTCAATAAGCTCAAATTCAAGGCTACCTGGCAAAATCCTCCAGCCCTTGGTGCAAATGCCACTGGGGGCTCTTCTACCCCATGACTGAATCACTGCCCAACAGAAGGCAAATCATCTCCCGGCTTCATAGAATCATAGAATGGTTTGGGTGGGAAGGGACCGTTAAAGCTCTGGTCTGTCCCTGATGGTTACCCTGGCTTTAAAACAGTCATGACTGCCCATGTCCCATTAGTAACACCCTGGACAGTCTCTTCTGTTCTAACAGCTGATGTAAAGGCAGAAAACCACAGATGGAGGCAGCAGGACTCCTGATGTACAGTAGGTAGGAGAGAGTTGGGTCCTGTCAACAATGCAGACAAGTGTACTCTTGAGCATTGTGAAAATCCAGGGAAATCTACAGGAGCTATGAATGGACTACCCCCAGGGTTGCCCAAAATTAGGCAGGTGGCAAATTTATGCTACCAACTGTATTTGGGTCTGCTCCTAACTAAGGTTTAGGTGGAGCTTAACCGCTTCTGCCTTGGATTGGCTCTGAATTCCCATCACTGCTGCCCCTCATTGCCTATTCTACTAACAAGTACCCCTCTTAGGCATCTCTCCTCTCTATGCTTTCATCTTCTCACTGTTTCTCACACACCTTCTATCTATAAACCCTTTTCTTTCTTCATGCTATCTCTTAACTCAAGAGTGCAGAAATGAACAGACATATGATTGTGTGATATATATAGGTTGCTCCCTATATACATCAATTGGATTATCTCCTGATTTCAGCTGTCAACAATATTTTTGTTGCAACTTTTTCTTTTTCCTCCTAAGTCTGCAGAGCCAGCATTGAAAGCAGTGGAGTGATATAGGAAAAGGAGTTTCAAGTAGGTCAATGCTTTAAAACCTGGATCAGAAACAAGAAAACACTTTTAATCATTAGTTTCATCACTGAGCGCAGGTCTGGGAGATTATAGTAGGTTATATCTTCCCTGGAACATCACTAAGTGTTGGAGTATACAAGAATCTAATATGAGCTCCTGAAAGTTTTGCTGCAGCCCAATGCAACATCAGACTGCCGAAGGAGCAGAGGAGTAAGAAGGCAGGAAAGGGTGGTTTTACCCACAGACTTACGGCTAGTCAGATCACACTTTATTGCACAGTGATGTGCATCTGTAAAAATATGTTTTAAAGAGTGTAAGAAACAGACATTAAAATGATTCAAAGGCTGGAGGATATGCCAGATTGAAAGGACTTCAAAGAGCTCAAATCTGTTTAGTTTATCAAAAAAAGTTCAAGTGTTGGCTTGAAGCAGAGTAAAAGTCCTTCCACAAGGAAAAAATACTGATTACAGAAGAGTTTAATAAGCTAGCAGAGGAAGATTTAAATGATGGAAGCTAATGCTAGAAGTATTCCAACAGGAGACAAGGTTTCGTCTTTTCATGGTATAGGGGATTAATCATCAGAAAAATATTAGGGAAGTGATGAAATTTTCATTTCTTGATAAGCCTAAAGGAAGTCTGGGTACCTTCGTGGAAGATAGATTTTAGCCAAATTCTAGTTACTGAGATCAAGACCAGGAGAACTGTGTGAAACAAAATGGCCCAAGAAATCCAGGAAGCCAGACTACATGATGTAATACACCACTCTGGATTAAACTCCATGAATCATCAACAGAAATTTAAACTGAATTCTGAGAGAGGAATATGCTCCTGGTGACAGATGAGCCAAAACCCCCTCAGTTATGTTAGCAGATCCCAGATATAGTATACAGAGTGGGAGGTTAGGAAATGCATCTCGTTATTTATAAATTGAGTGCATCACTTCAGTTTCCAAAATATCAAGGTAGTCTCATCACTGCCAGGCTTAGCAGAGAAGCCAGAGCATGGGTATTAAGGTCTCTCCTACGAGCTGAGATGGAGCACAGCAGCCACTTGGAAACTTACACTGACACTCGGTTTGCTCTGGGGTTAACTTGAAGTCTGGTGCAGAAAAAGAATGATTTGGCAACTTTCACGAAGAAAATAATACACATTTTTTGTTTAAAGACAACTGATTTGGCAAAATAACAATACTTGAACTAAATACTTGTATGTTTTAAACAATTTGCTTTAGAACTTTCAGTTTTTACATAACATATTAGGTTTTATTTATATGTATACATAATAAAAGACTGTATGCGTGTTTAATATATACACAGCTCTCACAGTAAACAAAATATTTATGCTGTTATTCCATTATTCATGATCTACAAAGGCAAAAACATATTCCTCGTGGGGGACTTCAACCACCCCGATATCTGCTGGAGGGACAACACAGCAAAGGATAAGCAATCCAGGAGGTTTCTGGAATGCATTGATGATAACTTCCTTCTCCACATGACAGAGGAGCCAACAAGGAGAGGTGCCATCGTGGACCTTCTTCTCACCAACAAGGAGGGGCTGGTGGGGAACTAAACTTTAAACTAAAAGAGGGTAGATTCAGATTAGATATTGGGAAGAAATTCTTCCCTGTGAGGGTGCTGAGGCCCTGGCCCAGGGTGCCCAGAGAAGCTGTGGCTGCCCCTGGCTCCCTGGCAGTGTTCAAGGCCAGGTTGGATGGGGCTTTGGGCAACCTGGGCTAGTGGAGGGTGTCCCTGCCCATGGCAGGGGGGTGGAACTAGACAGGCTTTGAGGTCCCTTCCCACCAAACCAGTCTGTGATTCTATGATAAGTTAATTTTTTCTGCGACTTAGGAATTTGTGAAGTGAACCTGAGAATTTGCCTTAAGATTTGAGAATATTCAAAATCTGACCAGACAACATCCTGAGCAGATGATCTAGCTGACGCTGCCTTGAGGGGTCGGACTAGATTTTCTCCAGAAGTCCCTTCCATCCTCAACAATTCCGTGATTCTACGAATTTGACCATGTGCACGGAACTTACCTTGTCATTCATGAGTTGATGGTTCAGTGGAGTCCATGTGCTCATCTTGGTTTGTAGCTTGGGGCCATCCATGTTTCTAGGAGGTGCAAATGCCATAGATATGGGAGATGGTGGGTCCTCTGATGTCTTGTCAGCACCAATGGCTATAACAACTGAACAGTACAAAGACCAACATTATTTCTGTGCTACTCCATTACAGTATGTTAGTGAAAAGCAAATAATTTTAAGAAGGAAGCCAGTGATTTAATAGAATAGCAATGATACAAGTAAAATTATTTGAAAGTCAGTTAGGGTAAGGCCTTTTATTTGATGTACTCACAGTAACCATGACAGTAAAGACCAGATTTCCTGATGGAACCTCAGTGCACTAATGTAATATAAATACTTAATAATTAAGCAGCTCTTCCCAAACACAATTATTATTGAATATGCCTTTGATTTTTGCTGCATGAGTGATCACAACAGGGTATATACAGCGAGCTAGAAAGTACACTAAATTTCTCTTTCCAGCTGTTGGCACTGAAAATTGCAGATAACTTGTGCATCTACTTCGGTGACACTAGCTAGGTTTTTACTGATTTTGATGGGCATATAATGACAAGCCTCAAAGGATCAATTTTTTTCTTTAACACTTAACTGAAAGAATGAAATCCAGAATGGTTCAGAATTGACTGAAACCTCTCAGAGTCCTGTGTTCAGGCAGATTGGTTTTGACAGTTTAGACTGACTGTGCTGCTCTTTTAAACAAAAATTCCTGTGTGAAGTAAATAGGAAATTTCACAAAATATTCCTTTCCATTTTGTGACACTGAATAACTGGACCATGTTCAGACAAAGCCATTTCTTTATATATTTTTGCCCAAACATAGGAAAAGCTTTTTTTCCCCTTCGTCTTCTATCCTGCAGCTGGATTCAACAAGAGAATGTTATTGCTCACCCTAGGCATCCAATTTCCAGACTACAGGCGTAAGCTGCAGCGTCCTGAAAACCAAGTCACTTCTTTACCACATTAAAAAATATCTCAGTTCCTTGTGTATAGTTTTTAGGGAATTTTTCTGTAAATACTTCAGATTCTTTTAAAGCTTCATGGTGGCAAAGTGAATAATAGCACTTTTGGAATAAAAGGGAAGGCAACTCCACTAAGTAACTCCAATATTGTGTTGCTAGCCTACCCTGAACCCAAGCACCTCAAATCCACCCAGCAAACAGACCTTTCTAGCTAATACAGCTCTGAGGTTCACAAGACACATCTTCATGAAAGCCCAGTCCCCCGTTCCTTACCCAGACAAAATTCCATATCAATGGAAGATTAATCTTCACAACCCCCGCAGGATCTGTCTGGGCACATCACCGTTTTGATTAGTGTTTCCTCCCTTTCTCTCCTAAGCTACTATGGAATCAAAGAAGTATAAGAAAGAGAAAAAATGAAAAATCTCTTACATCTTTCTCTCTGCATCTAGTAATGTTATATGGTCCGTAGTTAGGAAATAAGTTCATTACAAGAGTCTGAGTTCTTATATTTTACTTTTTTTTTTTTTGCTAGAGATCCTTAAATAACATTGTCTGCACACTGCAATTTTAATTTCCCACAGAGAGGCCACTGAAAGCTAAAAGACTTAATAAGGTTTCGAAGTCTCCCATTCTGTAGTTGGCCAATGTTAGAGGCTTCTTGTGCAATAGGTACATTTGGTATACGCATTAATGATGGGATCACTTACTGGGTTGTTTTTGTTTTGTTTTGTTTTTCTGCAAGGTCCTTGCCCTTTTCAATGCACAGAAACACAACATTACAAGCTAGAGAAACAGCTCCACTGCCAAAAAAACAGGTTCGGGCAACCATGTCCTGTTTTTCAGGGACAACCTTCCACATTAGTCACAAAAACATCAGTTGTCACTGCAGCACACTCCCAACCCTGGATTCATGTT